TACAGTGCCTCATGACAAGCTTCTTAATGTGCTGCATAGTTATGGAATTCGAGGAAATGTGCTAAAGCTTTTTACTAGTTATTTAACTGATCGAATGCAATATGTTAGAGTTAATAATTGTCTTAGTGATCCCCAGGAAGTTAAAATAGGTGTGCCACAGGGCACTGTTTTAGGGCCCATACTCTTTATAATATATTTAAATTCTTTGTTATTCTTAAATACTAGTGGTAAAATACTGTCATATGCAGACGATACTGTAGTCATTTTCTCTGGTGATACCTGGGATACAGTTAAAGAACAAATGGAACGTGGCATAACTGCTATTAAAATATGGTTAGATGGACATCAGTTATCTCTAAATGCTGGTAAAACCAAATACATAGCATTTTCAATTACCAGCAAAAATAGGCCCAACTATGATAGGATTAATATTGAACGTTTCAGCATGGTAATAAATGAAGTATATTCCATAAAATATTTAGGTATCGTAATTGACAAAAACATTAAATGGGAGCAGCATATAAATAAATTAACAGCGAACACTCGAAAACTGATTTTTAGATTCTACAAATTAAGAGATATCTTAAGCAAAAAAATATTACTTATAGTTTATAAATCTCTAGTGGAATCCATTTATCGCTATGGTATTCTGGTATGGGGTGGTTTATATAATACGACTTTAAAACAGCTATCTGTTGTACAAAATTATATATTAAAAATCATTTTAAAAAAAAATAAATTATACCCGACCAGTTTACTTTTCAAGGATGGAATATGTAATATTAGATCTTTGTATTTCCATTCATTGTGTACAAATGTATTTAAAAATGAAAAACAGTTGATAATGAATGTTAGGGTAACTCGGAGTATGTCAAACGAAGCTTTACTAACACCTTTTAATAATAAAACCATAGGTTTGAGATTTGCGACACATTTAGCTCCCAAGACATACAACTTGTTACCCTTAGAAATAAGAAGAACCAAAAGCTTTAAAAAATACTCGCACCTCTGCAAAACATACATAAGTAACAACTATTTGTCTTTTTTGTCATTGATTGAATAATATCCTAGCTAATACGAAAGATGATAATAATAATTTGAATTTTACTCATATTATTGTATATACAGCATATACTTAATGGATTTTGTGCTTGCACAATACAAGTGTTAATTCACTTAGGTGCAATGTGTATAACGTTTTTGTTTCTTTTTTTTCTTCTTAGTGTTAATTTTAATATACTGTAATTGTACTTATTTAATATACTGTAATATACTTGTAATTGTTTTATCTGTTTTCTAAAAGTAGGCCTAACACCTAAGATACAACGTTAAATAAGATTTAACAAGTATTATTTTTTTATACTTAGGTTCCTACATGATTGACGTGTAAAAGTTATGTATGTGTATGTGTTTTAAAGTTAGCCACATTAAACAAAAACAAAAACAATAAACAATAAATTTGCGGTAAGGCACACTTAAATTGCTATTTAGGTATAGGTAAAGTTGTGTGCTTTCGACATTGTGTGATCACTGTAGCGCTTTCAGGATGGTAGGCTGTATTAATAAAATATTATAGAGCTGAAGAACTTGGCATCATTTGTTTGGCTACAACTACATACATGTACTTAGTATATAATTGTAGTACGCAAAAAGGGCACACCTTAATATATATTTTCCAATTATGTAAAGTGGATGGAAAGAAATATCAATTTATTCATGTTTGAAACCGGTGGGCTCATGTAATAAAATATAATAGCAGAACAGGTAATTATCTAAAATATTATTTTCAACTGGACAAACTAAAAATGCTATTTATAGGTCCGACATTGCATGATCGCCCCCGTTGTATTTTAGAGCAGTGGCCTACGTTAATAAAATACTACAAAACTAGAGAACACGGACTCATATATTTTTCTATAATTACATTCAGGTTGCAATAGTAATATGTAATTGGGCATGCCTGAACCTCCGTTTACTTATTAAATAAGGAGATATGAAAAAAAATTATGTCAACTTATTCTTGAATGAAGTTGATGGATGGATAAAAAAAATTAAATAAAATAGCATCAGAAATTGTTTACATTCTTCTATTCAAGAGATTATATTTAATCCAAAAAATGTTAGCAATCCTAGCACATAAGGCAAACCTAAGATGACATTTATAAGTCAACATATGCATTCTCAGCACAATGTGATCATTCTGTAGTAGTTTTAGGGTGGATTGATAATAAAATATTAAATTCATGGAAAAGATAGAAACATATGCAATACAGCACACCTGAAAATCTGTTACAGTAGATACTTTGTAGACCAAATGTTTATTTTGCGACAAATTATAGTCATTCAGTAGTAACTTCCATAGATTTGACCTCGGATATAACAGTTACTATGGATGAAGCCAAAGCCGACTTTCTGCGCCTTGCAGCTGTTTCAACATGAACAGCAAAAGTGGCAGAGATTGGCCCTAAGTCACGTGACCTAAGATACAAATCACAGGACATGAATTTTAAAAGAAATAATTTCTGATTATGAAATTTATTCTTTTTTGGTAGTAACGCAACAATTAAAAAAAATACTGCCAAATCTATATGTAAAATACGCAATACCACAAGTTACGTGATGTGAGGCTAGTATCATATGTCATCTCATTTTCCATCTTGACCCCTTGCCAACTCTCGATGGAACCAGCTCGGGAGATTTGAACTAACGGGGGAGGGGGTGGTGAAAGTCACTACCTACTACGAGCAATTTACCAATTTTCTTAATGACAATTTTTATTTTAGAAAGTCCGGAGAAATTATTGCATCCCGGGAGCTCAGGAGGTTGAGCATTATTCCTAGAGACTCCCAGGCATTCCGAGAGAGTTGGGAAACCTAGCCCTACCTTCTCTCTCTAAATTCCATCCATAGTATACTGTCAAATCTATGGTATAGTCTTTCCGATATTAATTGAAGAACTAAATCGTTGACAGTATGTACCAGGTTCAGTTACTGACGCAGCAACTTGGCATTGAAATATTTGAAAAACTTGTTCCCATATTTCTTTAGCCATACCCATATACAGGTCTGGTCAAACTACACGTGGAGGTGGTAGAAATGTATACGCCCAGTTGAAGAATGCGAGCGCAGGCAAACGAAATCTAATACAACTGTATTGGGCTATTGGGCAATAAATCTCAGCTTTTGACAAGTGGTTGACAAATTGCCCAGCAGTGCACTGCAGCAATGCGGAATTTGGTGTGATTTAGGTAATTTAAATTTTTTATAGGCACCTTCTATTTATATTACAATATTGTTGTTGACTATAAAAACAAACCATATACAAATTGTTGTTGATACAAAGATTTTACATAAAAGAACCTGCCTGTATAGTAAAATTTTAAATATATGACAAATTAGTGGTAGAAATTATTTATGAATTTTTGCGTTACTTAAAAACTAGTCTGACATTATAAGGGGCAATTGAACAAGAAGCTAGTAGCGATCCTATTGCATAATTTTGAAGAAAATATGTCAAAAAATTGTCCGTCAAACCCTGTTGCCGTTTCCTGTTTTTTAAACAAAAGTGACACTAGTGACAGCAGTCTATCAATTAAGAGTATTTGTGACAGTTATTAATAATTTCCTGATTGTAATGGATTCAACAAAATTTAAGTGGTGTTTTGTTCCACATTCCACATAGCCAATTGCATTATCTCCATAAGACTCCCGAACTGCACTATAATTTTCCATAAAAAAATATGTATTTTATAATATAAAATACCTATTTATATTATTTTTTATTTATTTTATTTATATTATAAATAAACACAATAAAATCATTCATTAAATATGTTGTTCATACCCGACTGCTTTTATACCTCTAATTTCGCCAATATTAAAATGGTCGTCTCTTTTTAAAAATTCAATTCATGATCATAAAAATATCAATTTTCAGTAAAATTTGCGAAGTAGCTTTCACAAATCCTGTTTCACACATTCTGCTTTAATTCTAAGGGAAGATATTAAATGATTATTACTAAATAATAATTTTACTTAATAAAAGAATTCGAAGATTAAGGAAAATAACTCGTAGACTTGAAAATATGAAAATGAAAATATTTTATGCGACAGTGTCACTAACAGACTGACACTACTGACAGTGTTGACAGAGCTTCATCTTCCAATATTTTTCCTTTACGCAATCATTTACACACAATTTCACTACAAAGTGCCCCTTATGATGTCACAGCCATTTTGAAATATTGTAAAAAAATCAGTTTTAAATAATTATTTTAAAACTGTTCCAACGCATTTCTCAATCTCTAATTGTGCATACACACTAATTAGTACGTGTAGAATTATATTATCTACTTTTTGAAATTTGGTCAACAACCCTATTGCAAAAGGGAGAAATAATATGGCATTTTGGAGACCTATTGAAACGGAACAAAACGAAATTTACCATCAATATAATAAAATTGTTTGAGGACATAAATAATTAAAATATGTTGTTGGTCAAATGAACATGTAATAGAAATTTTCTATACGTTATATACAAATTATTATAATGTTTCACCTTTTTTAGGGACGCCTATGAAACTCATTAAATTTGATTGCTCTGTTTTTTTATACATGTCCAACCGGCTTCGGAAAGACTCTAGCTTCGCATGTTTTATAATTTGTTTAAGTATCGTTAGAGACATCAATGTGCTATGTGCATCCTATATTTTGTCTTGACATGAGAGTTTTGTTTTGTTAAAAAATAATTGTTATTATTGATAAAAACGTGAAATGTAATCTTGTTTGTGTTTGTTTTGTGGAAAATATATTTTAAAAGAAAAGTACGTTGCGTTTATATAAAAGAGAACCTGAGTAGGAGCTGTACGAGCGGGTAGCTCACGTGGTTTCGACACAGAACAGGTATATTAATATAATTGTTTGAAGTGTTTTACCCCTAAGAGTCAAATGTAATTTGTAATAAATTAATAAAATAAAATCTAGGTTACCACTTATAATTAACTACGACCAAGGGTAATAAGGGTTTCTACCTGTTTCAAGAATCATTTCACCAATCTGTGAGCACCCCGTTAAATAGTTAAATGAAATATTTAAACACATTTTGCATAATTAATGGGACAAAACTAGGTTAAAAAGATGTAACTTACCCGAGGCTTCAGTTTTGTCTCTTCTTGTTGAAATTTTTGCAGGGTTCCTAAAAGAGCACCAAACATTCTCCTATTTCTTGCTCTAAATTTTTCATCTTTCTTCTGAGCTTCCAAAGCATCTTCTCTACTTGGAACTTCTCTTGAAGTAACAATAACTTTACTTATCAACTGCTTTTGTAAATTTTGATGTACATCTTCCTGAACTGCTGTCGACAATCTTTTAAATATTGAATCACTGTTTCGTCTCTTACTTACAGGTGTTTCTATTTCATATGTAATTTTACGTGCACGATTTAGAGTTTTTAAACCTGTTCGCACTTTTTCTTCAAACTGAGGTAATCTTTTTTTATTTAATTTTGACGGTAACTCCGAAGGATCTCTACCGATTATTTTTTTAATGTTATCATCCACACTCTTTAAACTATGTTTAGCCTCTTCCAGTTCAAATTGCAAATTACTAAATGACTTTAATACATCCATTTCTTCTATTTGGTTAATCATATCCGTTATCCCTTAATCGAATATGACTTTAAACCACAGATCTACACTTTATTAGATATCTTTAAATTATAGATTAGTATACTATGGACTATGGATGGAATGTAGAGAGAGAGAGAAAGGGTAATGGCATTTTTACGTGGTAAATTAATGGTTTATATTAAACACTACACCATCAACTTATTAAAAACTATTATCTATAACTAACTAATTACTGCAAAATACCCAAACAACTATGAAAGATTTACTTAAATACTTGGAAAAATGCAAAATTACTAGTTAAGTCGCATGTAAACAAACATGAATTCTAAAGGTTAGACATCTTGTGACGTAGTATAAGATAAGCCACGCCCATAATTTCTGTCTATTACTCGACCGTCTTTTTTATGGACCGTGTAGCACGCGCGATTTCTCATATCTATTAGATATTCGGCATGGTTATTAGGAACCGGAGTGACAAGAGTTAAGAGTAAAATCACGTGACTACCGTGCTAAAGGAGCTTTTTGTAAACGAACGGTCATAGCGTTTGGCGTTTTATGTTTTGTGATTATGTCATTGCCATTTCTCATTGCGTGGTCACTAGTGATGGGAATAATCGAATGAATTAAATAATCGAGAGGTTACCGTTCAAATTAATTTTATAATCGAATGATCATTCGAATGATATTACATATAATCGAATTTTTCACTTTGAAAATTTCCGGTCTATCTCAAATCATATGCGAAACATGTTGACGATAGGTAAATGAATGACTGTCGCGGATTGGGGCATTTTTTCCATATTTCTTCGTTGCCAGTTGAGTGGTTCAGCAGCATGTGTTTAAAATGAGTAGTCGCCGCCTAAAGAGGTCCATTGTTTGGGATTTTTTTGAAAAAAAAATATATAGAAAACATAATTTGGTATTATTTTCATTCATATGAATTTTTATCCCCGCTAAATAGAGCTCCCATCTAACCCCCCCGCGATACCTCTCATAAAATTCCTGCATACCTTTTTTCGTGTATGTCGGTGCGGTGATATTCGATTGTCTCATATATCCTCTCGGCCGTCTTATCTCGAGATGTTGTAGCTCGTTAGAGCGTTGGAACAATCGAAACATCTGCGCACTCGCTCGAGTAGTGCAGGTGTTAGTAACGCTGTGGCCACTGTCATTTGTATCCGAATTATCGAATGTTTCTATATGACCACTCGAGATATCTCGAGAGATTTTCATAATCGATATAATCGATAATTTTCATTCGAGTAGTCCCATCACTAGTGGTAACTCCTCATCAGGTTTTGTGGTTGTCTCCGATTTGGCCTGGAGATAAGCCATTAATTTGATTTTAAATTATAGTTCACAATATTAGAAATATTAGGATAGCTTGTTAGACCTGAACTTCCTTTTAGTATAAAAAGAAGGTGCTGGTCTAAGCGTGGGTTCTTTGCATTTATGAAATAAAACTCCTAGGAGAGTAAAAGAACAATCTTTTTTTTACTACTGGGGGTAGGATTGGTTCTGACGGAGCTTTAAGGTGAACCGTGATCCGAACAAATCAAGTGTTCTACTATTGCCATGATCTATGGTTGGGATTAATACAATAATCGATTTTAGTGACCTTCGCTGCCGGTTCGTGGTCTATGGTTGGTGTTGACAATAGTCAAAAGTACAGATGTCAGAGAAAATTATCTGCAGTGCTTATATATAAAAAAAACAAGCAATACTATCTTATATAATATTTTGTACAGTTAAGTGATAAATTTGTCAATCGGCGCTTTCCTAGGTACCTTGGTTTTCGCTTACAGAATGAGAAATTTACTTAAGGTAAGGATAATATTTACAATAATTAAAGTACTAAAGTAACCAGTTTTCACTTATTAATCTCCACTCTTTTTTTTCTTTTAGGTCTAGCCACGACAGCAGGGTAGCTGGGTAAATTATTTTACTTATTCTGGAAACTAGCCACAAGCATAGGGTAGTGCCTCAGAGCGATCATGCGTTAATGCTATAATGCTATTACCTAAACTAAAACATTGGTAGTAAGCCATGCAGTGAAACTAGCTATGAGGGCAGTGCACGGCAACAAGACTACAGCAAAGCAATGGGGAATAATACTATATCTAAATTGCCTGTATAGTTACTCGGACAAGTAACTATGTGTGATGTGCCCACGATGTAACAACTGAACTGCCTGGTGGATGTCTGGACCTGTCTGGTAGGTACGACTGCCGGGGTACTGGATAGCTAGGGCTGGAAGGGTACTTCGTAACCATATACTAAGGTAAGAGTTTCGGAAGTTTGATAACGGTGTATTTGTTGGCCTAAAAGGAATTTATCAATAAATTATTACACCATAGATGAGAGATATAGTTTGACTAAATGAGATTAAGGCTGGACTGGCTTACCGTCAAGATGTTGTGTGGCCAAGAAGTGTAGTCTTCTGACAAGGGCACACGGTGACAAAATTTTAATGCACAGAACCTCTTGATATCCAGCATATGCTGTTAAGTGCAGAAATGCTATCTGCCACTAAATGTGGTGCTAAATGCAATTTTCGTCGAGATTAGATCAGCTAAAGCTTGCTAAAGTACTTAAGTCTTTCTAGTTCAAAATGGTGCTCTCACCCAAAAGATAGAGTATAAAAAAACCCAGTCATAAAAACCCTTAAAAATCATAGAATTGGAAATATCAAATTTTAAACCATAGAAAATTGTATTATTTCAAACTCAAACTTCTATCTCTTTCTAACTTATTTATCTTAGGAGAGATACTTGGTGCAGATAATAACCATAGATTAACACCGTTTTGACAGTGGGACCAAAGAAAAGGTTATATTTACATATTTCTGACAATATGGGCTGTTATTTATTCATGTTGAGTATATGGAATTTCTTTCCTAAACAAAGCGATTTGTCTATTTCCACCACGATTGTACTGGCGCAGTACCTCTAACTTTTACTTGTTCCAGGCACCACCTGCGGGGAGGCCACTGGTTGGCCAGCAACAAGGAAAACATATGTGAACAAAACCAACAAAACTACACTAATCCAATCATTTGCAACCTACTATCTACTCTCCCCTCTTGGGAATGACCTTAAAGATGATAAGTTAGGCGCAATAAAATAAACCTGTAACAAGCTGATTCGGGAAGAATTGCTATTTTTGAATATGCTAGAAATATATTACAACATAGAACATATGTTAGAAAACATATTATAATCATTTAACATTTATAACCGCACTTTAAAAAAAGCTCCATTTGTTTTACCTAACGCAGGTTGAGCATACTGAGCGAACTCTTAATTAATCATTCTAGAGTACTCGAACGGCAACTAGTTAACTCTTTAGACTTTATATAGGCGAACGACAACTAAACCTTTGGGCAAAAAAGAGTGCACGGAACAGTGAAGCCGAACGCTACATACGTACGTGAACAGTGTTAGATTTGGTGATTATTCAATAAAAATTAAGTTTCGAAAAGTCCAACACAAATCTTTATTTCGTACAATTTACAATTTTCTGGCCGGTCTAACTCGAGCGAGCGTTCATTCAATAATAATAATCTCCTGTTGGAACCGCCACATCATATAGGGACCTAATCTTATAACTATAAACAATTAATATGTCTAAAGGCACAGTGAAGGCTGGCTATTCATGATATCATCGTCCCAGACCGTGGGTTTATTTGTTTTTTCAAAACCCATGAATGCTCACACGGCCAAACCTGATCCTTTAATTCGTTCTCGAATTAATTTTCTAATCTTGTTGGGAGTGATGACTTCGATCGATACTACCATTCATTCTTGGTAATTATCTGAAAAGAAAAACAATCACGGCATCAACTTCTTATTAATCATTACACGAAACATATTTTTTTATTACTTTTGCTATTGAATCATATTGCAAAGCGTTCTTTTGTCCTTTCAACAATTCACTCACACATTCATACAATACATTTTTACTATTGCAAAGCGTCTCCTTGTGCTTTCAACAATAGCTTCCTTTTTTTAATTTTATTGCAAAGCGTCCGTTAAGTGTTATTGAGTTATTTACATATAGATTTGAAGGTATTTTTTAATTGTTGTGGTACAACCGCCATTATTCTATGGCTAGAAGTTGGCCTCAATGATTTGGGATCGAGGGGGATTATCCCTCTTTATCCTGCCTCATCTCGTGTAGGCCTGGACAGCCTTCGTAGGTGGNCTCAGAGATGCTTCTCGTGGCAAGTCTCGACTGAGAGTGAGCTACCGAGGCAAAACTCGGCGATTATTTAATGAACAGCGGTCGGACTGAGGACTGAACGTCGAGTGCGCCGCAGCCTGCTGTTCCAAAAGGCCCCTGGCAGTAAATCACGAGGCGCAATGTTGGATTTCTTTGCGTCCCGTGACACTGAAAATTAAAATTTTTACTTCAAAGTTTCGACCAACTTTTAATGATTCATTAACTCTGTTGCGAAGTTTATTGATTAATAGTGCCTTCTTGATTATTTACGTCAAGGAGTCGATACAATATTTTCAGTTTCATGGTATCAAATTTATTCAACTTAGTGTATTGTAGCTGTAAAATGTATATCAGGAATAATCAATTAAACAAGAATTGCATGGAAAAAATATTTTATACATAAAACTTTATAAACACCTTAATGAACAAAGTTCTTAGGGCAACAACTTAAAATTATTAAAATATATTTACAAGTTTCTTTATAGTCTCATTTAGTTTTATTTCACCTTCGTCTGTCTTTGGACCTACTCTCCACCTTTTCCTCTTCTCTATGCCTAGATTTCTTATACCTGTCTCTGTCCTCCCTGGAATACTTGTCTTCTCTGTCTTTGTACTTGTCTTCCCTGTCATATTTGTCCTTTCTCTCTTTCTTCTCTTCGTACCTTTCCTTTTCGGAATATCTCTCTCTATCATCTTTGTACCTGTCTTTTTCATACTTGTCATTTTTCTCATATTTTTCATACTTGTCCACATAGCGGTCATTCTTCTCCCTCTCGTTGCTGTTCGACCTCGATCTTCTTTTGTCCCTGAATACACAGTAACATATAAAATGAATATTCATGAAAATATTTTTTTATAATACAAAGTGCAACTTTAAAAGGGTGTCAGTTTTTTAGGAATAACAGTATGTGTTACCAGAGTCTGAATATTTTTTTTTACATAAAAAAAATAGAGCTATAATTAGTTTTTAAAACTGCACTAGAACTCTACGTCACAGGGCAGCTCTCAAACTTGGTTGTATGAGAGTTCTTATCAGTGTAGCTCTTTTTAAATGAATTATCTGAAACTAAGGATGTGGCACAGAGCGAAACTGCAGTGAAAAAAATTCAATGCAAAAAATGCTCTTATATGAATTTGTGAAGTGTTATTTTAAAGTCACCATATTTTTTCTACATCAATACGGACATAGCAACATTCATAAGAAAAATTGAGTATTTCTGGAAAATGGATATATTTTATACCTTTCAATGTGAAATGTTAATTTTTACTGAAATCAAAACAGAATTTGTATAATGGTAATGTGTTTTATTAAGTCTAATTTTATACTAAAATTTAGTAGTACATATTTAGTGAAGTATAGTATACAGGGTCGAAAAGTCCCCATGGTTCATCGGCCGTTACGTGAGAGATAAAGAGTCATAGAAATCCGTGCGATAGAGAAAGATGGCTATAATGAAGGCGTCTAATAGTCACCGCCCATTTCGCCTTCATTATAGCCATCTTTCTCTATCGCACGGATTTCTATGACTTACTTTATCGCTCTCACATAACGGCCGATGAACCATGGGGACTTTGCGACCCTGTATAGGGCATTCTCTGTCAACTCGGCCACCCACATCCATTCTCAATTTTTGAGGTAAATAATTAAATTTGGACTTGAATATTTTGGTTAGACATCTACTTTTTAATGCCGTTTGGCGATTTTGACAAATTAAAGATGGCGGGACTGTATCAATCCATAAGGTATTTATTTTGAATACAAATAAGTACAAGTTTGATAACAAATATTTGAAAAGAATATAAATATGATTGTTTGTTAGTATGCTAGCGTTTTCTGGGTCACTTATCATGATTCTGAAGTCAAAATTTGAAAATTCAAGATGGCGGATCCAATATAGCGGCCAAAACCTTCGAAATCTGATTTTGTTGACGAAACTTGATGGAAATGAGTTCCTACAGGTTTTCGGGGTCGCCAATCACGATTCCGAAGTCAAAATTTGAAAATTCAAGATGGCGGGACCAATATGTGTGACGAAAAGGTCGAAACATAGAACTTTGTATGGATTGAAATTTGCCTGTTCCTCGTTACATTTTAACTTTGTTGCAAACTAAATTTTTGAAATAATGCATAAAATCTTGCAGATCTTTTATGTAGGTAACTTTGTTATCTTTGTAAATTCCATCGGCATTAGGATAAACGATATTTCAAAATGTCAATGCTTTTAATGGAATTGGAAGATATCATACAATTCTTACAAATTGCAAATAATATTAACAGCCGGCGAATGAGCACGAATTAACAAGATAGATTTTGAAAAATTAAAAGGCCTGACTACTAGATTGGACTCCTCAGAAAGAATCTAGTAGTCTTCCTTAGACGCCTACCAAGGAGCGGCTGAATAAATTGAACTAATTTGCTCTTTTGATGGAAGATGCAAGTGGAAGAGTCAGTTACTGCGCAGCTAAGCATCTCAAAGGTAGAAATCAAGAAAAAATAATTTTTATCCGAGATGGAATAAATCATATTTATTAAGAGCCGGTGAATGTCCACAGATTTACGAGATAACATAGATTTCGAAGGTTTTGGACACCATATTGGATTTGCCATCTTGAATTTTTAAATTTTGACTTCGAAATCGTGATCAACGACCCCGAAAACCTGTAGCAACCCATTTCCATCAAGTTTTGTCAACAAAATCAGATTTCAAAGGTTTTGGCCACCATATTGGATCTGCCATCTTGAGTTTTCAAATTTTGACTTTGGAATCGTGATCAACGACCCCGAAAATCTGTAGGAACACATTTCCATCCAATTTCATCAACCAAATCAGATTTCAAAAGTTTTGGCCGCCATATTGGATTTGCCATCTTGAATTTTTAAATTTTGACTTCGGAATCGTGATCGACGACCCCGAAAATCTGTAGGAACACATTTTCATCCAATTTCGTCAACCAAATCAGATTTCAAAAGTTTTGGCCGCCATATAAGATCTGCCATCTTGAATTTTCAAATTTTGAGTTCGAAATCATGATCAATGACCCAGAAAACATTAACATACTAACAATCATATTTATATTGTTTTCAAATATTTGTTATCGTATATGTACTTATTTGTATACAAAATAAATACTATATGGATTGATACAATGCCGCTATCTTTAATTTGTCAAAATCGCCAAACGGCATTAAGAAGTAGGTGTCTAACCAAAAATTTTAATCCCAAAATTAATTAATTATCTCAAAAATTGAGAATGGACGGTGGGTGGCCGAGTTGACAGAGAATGCCCCATATATTATGTGCATTTGTTTGTCATCACTGTTAAATTTCTGTGTAAAAATACAACAACAAGAACAAGTACAAATCAAGAAAGATGGGTTTGATAACAATGCATACCGCAGCTCTCAATTGGTTATGCTCTTGCAACTAACACGCACCTTTGTTTGAAGATATACTAGCCTATACTAGCGGCGTTGTATGAGATACTATATTAGTGATAAAAAAAATTCAATTTTCGTGACGGAATTTACAAAAATAATCTTATGTGTTTCTCATTCCAAGTTTTGCCCTATACAGGGTGTCCCTGAAAAGGATGGACAACGCTTGACCACAGGTTCCTTGGATGAAAACAAGACTATTTAGCCTAATTTACCTATATACAAAAGTGCACGCCTACTGAGATATAGCCTTCTAAATATAGAACAGATAACCTAGTTTTTTTCAAATAATTTAAAAACTGTTTTTCTTAGAAACTCCAAATTTGATACACATATTTTTTTATATAAGGGCAATGTAAATACAGAATTTGGTGAAAATACATATACAGGATGTTCTCTTTCTAGTGCCTGTGTGCCACTGGGAATCCCGTAATTTTTTTGTATGTACGCCAATGACGACAGAATTTATATTTTTAAAAATAAGCACTATTTTAGAAGATTTCTTGCCTCTTACAAAATTTTGATATCGTTTATGGATTTCGAGTAAAATTGGCATTTTTACGCATTTAATATAAAATCAGTTTAAGATAAATAGAACATTCTAGTACGAAGTGCCATATAACACAGAAACAAATTCATAAGGGTTCTGTGTCAAGCTAGCTGTGATTTAATTTTAGCTTACTTTGTTTTTTATTGCAATTTATACTTTTGCTGAACAAACTGATATGTTAGTAGTCTCGGGTTATTGTGAAGGAAATTGTTGTGCTACTGTTCGAACATATGCTGAAAGATTTCCTAATCGAAGAACTCCAAATCACAAAACATTTGATAATGAAAAGAGACGCCTTCGGGAAACAGGACGTTTTTTACCCGTAACATTAAATCGTGGATAATGTACGGCCGGAATTATTCAACTGGAGGAACAAATTTTGAAAAGAAGAAATTGCTCAAGTAAATAAAAGACGTTTAGGGGCAGAGGTTGGCTTTCAAAAAGCTCCTTTAAAAGAGTATTAAAAGACCAGTTATTACACGTAACAGGTATTACAGGGTACAGGTAGGTATTACAGGTTATTAAAGGTCTAACAGGTGGATAGGTAGAGGAAATAGTGCCCCTTTAAAATGGCCACCTCGATCCCCGGACCTAAACCCATGTAATTATTTCATTTGGGGAGCATTGAGGACCACAGTTTAAAATAACTTTTCAGTAAATACAGAAAACGAATATGGGAAAGAATACAACATGAAATTAATGTTATGAGAAGTAATGCACAATTATTGGATAATTTCTAATTTTCAAAGAACTAATATTTGCGTTTAAGAACAAGAAAGTAACTTTGAGCATTTACTGTAATATTATTTTAATGTGATTACAAATATCAGTTTATTTAAAATGTTAATGTTGACTTTCTTACATTATTAGTTGATATTGTTTATTTAAAATATTAGTATTCCCTGCTTTGAGGCTGCAGTTATAAATTATTTTTTATAAATCAGAATTTTTGCCGATATTTAATGTATAAAGAATGCGAATTTTACTCGAAATCCATAAACTATATCGAAATTTTGTAAGAGCAAAAAAAATCTTCTAAAATAGTGTTTATTTTTAAAAATATAAATTGTCGTCATTGGCATACACACAAAAAAGTTACGGGATAGCCAGTGGCGCACAGGCACTAGAAATAGAACATCCTGTATATATATTCTCTCCAAATTCTATATTTACCTTTGCCTTTATATAAAAAAATAAGTGTACCAAATTTGAAGTTTCTAAGAAAAATAGTTTTCAAATTATTTGAAAAAAAATAGGTTATCTATTCTATATTTAGGCTATATCTCAGTAGGCGTGTGCACTTTTGTATTATAGGTAAGTTAGGCTAGTCATATTTTCATCCAAGGAACCTGTGGTCAAGCGTTGTCCATCCTTTTCAGGGACACCCTGTATAAAACACTATGAAACAATATAATCTCAATCCACACCAAAAATAGCACAAGTACTAGCACTCAATTATATTTAATTTTTTTTAACAGATATTTACCTTTTTCTCGATTTAGAATGAGGAGTGTTGCTTCGAGACCTAGAATAGCTTTTCCTTTTGTGACTTTTCTTGTGGTTCCTACTTGCAGATCTACTTCTTGATCGGTGCTTTTTAGACCTTTTCCGGTGCTTATTTTCTGGAGAGTGAGTTGCGGACCTAGACCTTGAACGTTTTTCGCTGACTGGAGGTGCAATATGGCTTCCCGATCGGCTGCACAAGAAAAAATATTAGTAAAAAAAAAGTGTATACAAAAATGTTATATGTAAAGTGCGAGACAAAGAAAATAGTTTCCAGACCCTAAAGGGCACGTTGATAAATACCTAATAAAACCTCCCCAGGCATTATGAGCACCAGTAGTTTTTTGTTGGCTTGGACTAGATGAATCATTATTTGGTGTGTTGTTTCCTGAACTTCCCCTTGCCTTTGCCCTGGCATCTTGGTACTTTTTACAAAGTTCATCAACTTTTTTCTCTAAAGATTCGATATTGCCCTACAAATAAACACAAGTGTAACACAAAATATTAATAAAACGTTACCAAAATAGCATACCTTGGGCCGACTGTATAATTTTAGTATCCTAACAGATATATCACGGATATCCGTTTCGGCAACACCAAAAATTGTATACCAATATGGATTCTTTGGTAAAGGCAATTTCAATTTCCTAGCGGTGAGATATATACAGGCACATGCCACAACCTCGGGCTGGTAGCGGACAAAAACGTCAGTTCTCAACGAATCATTCATGTAATTCCACGAATATTGCATCAATTTTTGGTTATTTTGGAAACCGAGAACTTGTAGATACATGACGATTATCTAAAATTATTATTTATACAGAAATGTTTTACGTGATAAAATATCGAGAAAAGAAATAATTACAGTATGTGAGGAACTTAGACTATTGCTCCAATAAAATTGTATAGGACTAGTAAAAATTAATTAAAAATATTTCATATGATCATAGGTTGAAAAATGTTTTGTTTTTGAGATACAAGGCGATAAAAGTTTAATTTATTTTTTTTAAGCTAGTCCCAACTATTTTACAAGTTTCCTAATAGGTGATCAGATTTGCTTAAAGCTAGTCAACAGATCACCAAAACAATTACCATGTCAGAGTACATTTAGATTAATTCTTCCGACCAGTTAAATTAAAATTAAAACAAAGGTAAATAGACAACAGTCAATTGTGACAACAAAAGTTCAGGACTAGAGGATGATGGTTCCAAAGGAACCTGGTCGTCCTAATTATTTCTAATGGTAATCTATACAGCCCATCTTCAAAAGGGCTTAAACATGCCAAATTTCAATGATTTATCAAAAAACTATATACAGGGCGTTTCAGGAGGAGATGTACAGTGCCGGCCCTTTGAAAATGGACGACTCTTATAAGCAAATTGTCCATAATTGGCCTTTGTGAAGCTGACCTGAAAATGTGAGGTTCAAATCGGCTGTCATGTCAAATTTAATGTGTGTCTATCATACTAGTTCTAGTGAGCAAAACAAGTCCAAGTTAGATAGCAAATTATTTATTTTTCCAATACTGAAATATATTATACATTCTAACGGCCATTCATTCGCCGTCAACGAGATCTAAAAATGAAACACTTTTCGTCATCAAAAAAACGCAATTCGAGTAAAGTTAGTATTTTAACCAAGCACCATTTTTGTCTATAACACTGCAATCTACATGGCATTGATAAAATTAATGTTCTTGTTATAATCCTCAGTGACGTTATCCCATGTGTTTTCAATTGCCTCAAAAAGTTCTTCGACGTCAACTTGACGGAAGTTTCTGTCATAAATTTTTTTCACCATATATCCCTAGGACTTTGAGGGCCAAGGTAAAACGTCGATGTTGTTATCAGTGAACCATTCTGACACAACTCTTGAGGTGTGAATTGCACAATTATCCTGCTTGAAAGTGAAATTCTGAAGATACAGCATGGTCACAAGAAACATCAGGACTTTGGCAGCTTATCCAAGCCCAAACGTTAATGGAGAATCTATCGCTGCGCTGTGTGGGTTTCACATAAGGCTCCGAATACATTATAATCTCTGGTGGGTAGACACATACAGAAGCATCGGAGCAAGAATGAAAACATTTTTCGTCCGAAAATATAATATTCTCCCAGAAGTTGTCTGGGCTTCCTACAAATTGTCTTGCAAACTCTAACCTCTGTTCTTTATACTGGGGAGTCAAAGCAACTGTATTTGCGGCCACAAAATTCTTCAGATCCGAATCTTTCACCCGCTTCCTTGCAGTTCGCACTGATCCAAGAAAATTCATCTCAAAGGAAGCCGCTACTGCCATGTCAAAAGGATTTACTCTTAGGTGGTGCTTACTTTTCGACATCCACCTTCGTGAACATAACTTATGTGACCCTCCGCAATCCATTTTGAATGGCGGCGTCTTGAATTACCAAGCAAATTACTAATGACACTGACATATAAAAACTTGTCATAATAAGAAGTAGACCACATTACATTAGAAAAATAAATCGTCCACTTTCAAAGGGCCGGCATTGTACATACTTCAGTATGTTATTCTACGTTCAATTTTAAGCAAAAAATTTCCTATGAACAGGTCTGGAAACGCTTTGTTTAGCGATATACAGGATGTCAAATTAAAAAAAAATAATTACATTTTCTTTAATAACTCTCGACTACTTCGAGTTAAATTCATGAAATTCTGTATGCAGAGGTTTCTTTAAGTTTCTATGCAAGTTTTAAAAATGCCACACATCTTTACGCATAATGATAATGCTGATATGTTATTTTGTTACGGTTTTTCCAATGGAAATTCGCGGGCTACTCGTAGAGAATATCGCAGACAATTTCCTAATAGAACGGTTCCAGATGCAAGGGTGTTTTCTAACACAATTAACAAATTACGTGAATTCGGTTTTCTTCCAAGTAGTCACTATCATTATGAACGAGCAGATAACCGAAATGCCAAAGAAAAAAAAATGTACATTACTTAAAGAAGACTTGTATCCTTTCCACATTTAAAACGTACAAAATTTTCAACCAAGAGATCATGCCAGAAGATTGGAATTTTGTGAATAGATCAACGCTAATCGTCAACCAGTTCCAATGATGCGTTTTACTGACAAAGCTAATACATAATTAGCACTCTAATACATAATTATTTGCATGCATCAGCATCTTTAGATGAGTTTTTAACAGAAACGGCTGCTCCTAGAGATTTCAATAAGGTGTACATTTCTTAAGTAGAAAAGATAGGGGAAAATGTTTTCCTATTCCGAAATGACATACACCATGGCACAAAAAAGTTGAAGCGATTTAAAAGGATCCTAATGGTCGCTTGTGGTGCCCTCTCGGAGATACAGCCAATCGTCCATAAAATTTGAATTTCCCATCCCAAGAAACCTCCGCATACAAAATTTCATGAATAATAACTCAAAGTAGGAGTTAATAAAACGAATGTAATAAATTTTTTTAAATTTGACATCCTGTATATCCTAAATGAAGCATTTCCAGACCTAAGTTCATAGGAAATTTTTTGCTTAAAATTTAATGTAGAATAACATACTGAAGTATGTACATCTCCTCCTGAAACACCCTGTACATAAATTAGAAAAACTTAAAATAAAACATTATTAGTTTGTATTTCTTATTGTACCTAGAGAATCGCCTTTAGAATTTTTTCAGTTTAATCATATTGTAACAGCCATCACATAAACAAAAGATACAATACTGTTAAATATTTAAAACCAACTCATCACACATTTTATAATGTAACGTTGAATAAGTTTTCACTGTTTTCCACCAGATGGCGTTACCAGAACTGCAAGCGTGTAGTTTAAGATGGTACCGCACCTATAAAGAACTACTATAAGCAAGCTTGAAATTCGGTATGTTATTTCGCTGAAGTGAAAACTACTTTTTTATGTCAAATTTCGTGTGGAAAAAAAGTACTTGTGGGGAATTTTACTGCACTTCAAAAGAAATCTTCAGCTGAAGCACACAGAATGTTTGCCGAGACTTACGGCGACCATGCTCTGTGGCAAACATGGTTTAGATGCTTCAAAAGTAATGATTTTGAGTTGAAGATAAAGAACGCTCTGGCGAACCAAAACAGTTTCAAGATGAAGAATTGGAGGCATTACTTCATGAAGACTCATGTCAGACGCTAACTGAATTTACTGAATCATTAGGAGTTGATGACACAACAGTTTCAAAATATTTGAACGCATTAAAAATGATTCAATAGCAAGGATTGGGTGCCGTACAAGTCGAAGCCGAGAGTCATCGAACAGCAGCTTTATACGTGTGAACAGCTGCTTCAATTGCAGAAAAGGAAAGGTTTTTTGTATTGTATTTAACTGACGATGAAAAATGGGTACACTACGACAATTCTAAATGTAAAAAATTGTATAACAAGCTCAGCCATATGTCAAAATTGTCGGCAATGCCGAATATCCATGGTTCCAAACTTCTGCTCTGCATTTGGTCAGATTAGCTGGGTGCAGTTTGTTATGATCTGCTCAAACCGAATGAAACCATTATGGGAGATCGCTGTCGACTACCCCATATTCACCAGACATTGCCCCTTCCGATTATCACTTATTCCGATCGATAACACATGGCCTGGCTAAGCATTCCTTTGAAGATGCCAAAAAATGGATCGACTCGTGAATAATCTCAAAAGGTGTGCCGTTTTTCCGATGTGGAATTAAAATTCTCCTGGAAAGATGGGAAAAAGCCGTGGCTAGGGACGGACAACTCTTTCAGTGATGTTTCTTAATTTTCTTAAAGCATTAATTTACACAGTGAGAGCTTACTCAACTTTCTCAGGCTATGACATTAAAACTTTTATTAATAAATAGCACCTTATGCCCTTTTAGACTGTAAAATACAAATAAAATTACCTTGTGAGGATGTTTGATGTGGACGCAGAATCCCAATTCTTTTAACACTCTTCTTTCAGCTTTAATTACGAGGTTCTTAAGATGGGTATAATTTTGATCCAAAATTACGGGAGTGATGGGTCTGCACAAAATTGAAAAAAAAAATAGTAACAAATTAAATTATATATATTTTTTTATCGATTTAGGCCATGGAACCATCGATATTTGATAACAGAATTTTTAATTACTTCAATGTACTTCACCATATTAAGGTAAAGGTAGAAAAAAAAAGGAATAAACTTTAAGATGGTTCCACATATAACCTAATCAAATTGCTAAGACTCTGAAGGCATAACATTTCCTCAAGGAAAAGCATTAATATTTTTGGTACTTTCAACATTTTTTGGATAAATAGTCTTGCAGGTGATTCATATTAATTCATTCATTTAAAACTACCTTGCTAGAGTTTTACACATGACTGTATGTACAAATATACAGAAATTTTCTTATAAAATAAAACGCACCAGTGCACAGACATTACATTTGGTATTCTTACAACATGAAAATGTCCCATTTCAACTAATTTAAGATTTTTAAAGTTGAAAACTGTAAAGTAAACTACAGATTTAAATATCTTTATCTTAAAACTGATTGATGTTGAATATATTTTCATTCTAATTCTATTATTTTGCAAATTAGGTAAAAATAGTACATTAGCACAGACCGTGAAAGCCTTATTAAAATCACAATAAAAAAACTGGTTCACTGCCAAAGAGGTAACAATTTTTCTAATCATTAATAACAATAAAAGAAAAAAAATAAATTAAATATTTATCAAATTAATTTTTTTTACATAACCCTCATATTTGAATAGATTTTTTCAGAATTATGATTTAAGGTGTTATAACTATATCTAATGGTAAGGGAGACATGGATACTAGACCATACCGTACAAGTATAATGTATTAAAAAAAAAAAAAACTTAAGTGTGACTTATTGGTGGCTGCATTCTAATTATCATATCTACCTTCTTAAGGGACATGGACCCATCAAACCATACTATTGTAATTCTGAAAAAAGGTTCTAGTCAAATATAGAATAATAACAATATACTGCACAAAAAAATGTTACTTTGATAAATACTGAGTGGCTTAAAAGAGACGATTTTATCAATAGTTGATTTTCAAAATAAAATTGTATAATCTTTATTCACATTGTCAGGTCTAAAATGAAAAAGAAACTTTATAATTAAAAAACCATGAACTTCCTTTCTGTTGTGCCAATCTTTCAAATGTATTTTTTTTTCTATGAAAAAAATTAAAAAAAAAATGAAATAAACCCTTGAATCGAAGGGATTATTCAAGTAATATTTTTATGAAAATAGTTACCAAACACTGAAAAAATCAGAAATAGAAAATATGAAAAGACCACTTCAGTAAGTTGTTGATATTTCAAAAATCAATCTGTTTTTTTTTTCAATTTAAACTGTAATACGAAACAAAAAACTATTAAAATTAATTTAAAACAAAACATCTACAACTTGATGAACTGCACGATATAGTGATGTTTTTCGTATATTTATTTGTCTTGTGAGATATTTCATTACGCAAAACTATATTCATAAAAAATAACCCATTATCCTTTCGATATAACGATTTATATCATTAATTTTTAAATTTTTTTCAACAATATTCCCCAATAAGTAATTTCAAACGATATATTGTATACTACTCATATGGTAATTCATTAAGTCTTTCTTTAAATCGAGTTGCGTTTATATGAAAATTTCTGCATTACCTACAAAAATTAAACATGAATAGAACGTAACCTATAACTTTAGTTATACTATCATACGGCATAGTCATTTGACATGTAACTGACTAGCATATTTATGCAGGACACACAGAATGTACCTCCTAAACATAAATCATTCCTGTGTAAAAGAAAATAGTAATTGTTGTAACATTTTTACAATATTAAACCACCGCTAAATTTAAAGAATTGTTTTTCACAATTTTATATTTAAGACATCACATAATTACATCCCTCGAGGGTCGACATGACATACACCAAATTTTTCAAATGCCAAGGGATTTGCAAAAGTTAACATTTTTTAGAAATATTGAGAACACTTCAAAGTCGATATCAATAAACATATGTAATTACAGTGCTTGCCACAAAAAAGTTAAGAAATAGGCAAACATAAGTAAATAATGTAATTTGGCAATTATCTCAAAAATTATTAGTTTTATAGTAGATTTTGGATTTTGCCTTCTGGAGAAAATGTCTTTTGTGAAAAAGTAATATTATGTAAGTAAAAAATGAAATATAAACATACAGATTCGACAAACAAACTGTAGATTTAGAAGAGTTTGGTACTTTTTTTATGCCAATTAGAAGATACCAATACATTTCATTAACATAGGATTTTGAAGTTAAAATGATTACAAGTATAAAATATATCATACAGATGAGTTTAAAAATATTTAGCTTATGATATCCATATGAGTTTAAAATAAAAAAAAAAGATGTTTGATGTGCAAACAATAATACAGAAAGTGTATCTAACAAATAATTATAGACATACAGGATATAAATAAAACAGACACAATATCTATAGAGCAGAAGTAATTATGGAGAACTGTGTAGGTAATAATATCACACTGTACCTCCAGTCATATGAATGATTTTAAAAATATGTCTATAATCTTTTCTCTTTGTATAAAATATAAACAAAAAAGTTAGTTCTGAAGATAAAGTGTGACTCTTCCTCTGTTCTAAGACTAGTAATAATTCGCTCTACTTTGCTCGCAACTAGTTATCATATCAACTGTTAAATGATTATACAGGGTGATCCTATACATACATGGCAGCCTATAGAATATTTTACACTGAACAAAAAAGTTACTATAAATATGGGATTGAAAAAGCTTCCCTTACTAAGATATATTCGAAAAACCAATATTTTTCTACACTGTGCCAAAACTATGAGTTTTTTCGAAAAACACTTCCTAATACATCGCATAGCGGTTTTACATTGACAATTTATTCATGAATAAATTGATGAAGTTCTTCATGAATTAATTCATTAATTTATTGGTAAACAGTGTGGTTTTACACTGCTACAGACTTTGTCAAGTTTTTTGACGTATGAATCAGTTCTACCAATGAATCAAAGAAGCAAATAAATTTCAAAAATGTCACTTTTCCACTTATAATTGTAGTGATACAACAGTGATACCGTTCTAACACATATTATATAAATATTAGTTTTTGTAAGTAACAAATCAGTAAAAACAATGCAAAACTAGTACGACGCCACACAATTATTTACATATTCCAATAACATAACCTCATTACTGATCTGAGGCTGGAAATCTATTGGGTTGGTACTTCTGAACTTCACGAAGAAATTGATGAAAATTAAAACAAGCTCTAATTCGTCAAGAACTTGATGAATAAATTCATAAAGTTATTTGACAGCAGATTTGGTGCATACACTTGTCCAATTTCTTGATGAAGCGACTTCATGATTAATTGATCAATAAATTGTCAATGTAAAACAGCTATTATAAATTTAAATTTACTGTCAAACAAGATAAAGTCAGCCCAATCAGTTTAATATTGCATCCAATGTTTGGTACATTTTTAACAATACTAATAACTGTTTTTAGTAGGGAAAGCAAAGAAATTCAAATAATATGATATGATTCAGAGGCTATAAAAATTTAGGTGATATTTTTATAACGTACCATATTTCGGAAACGATGATGGAGATCCCTATGACAAAGTGGAGATTCAGCAAGATTGAGGTTCAGCAAGATTTCAAGTCAAGGGTTACTCGTCTCCTAGTTTAGGTGATAATAATACCAACAAACTCAGACTACAAATGACTGCTTTTTCTTGCATTGCATTTTTGTTAGATTTATCCACGAAATAACATTAGAAGTCAAAATTCACTGCAAACTATCAACGCTTGCCAAAAATTGATCTTTCAACCGATTCGGTGGACTATGAACTCATCCAACACAAATTCAATTGTTTACAAGATTAGACGTTTTTTGAAAAATTGTCAAAAAATATGTCTTTTACAGGTTTCTCATACTTATCATATCAGTAACAAAGCTTTTCCTATTACGAATTTTTTTGTTCAGGTTAAAATTTTCTGTAAGAGTCTTACATTTTTACGTTTCATACAGGAACAACCTATATATTACAAAAATATATATTTTCAGTGAATAAATGAAATGTTAACAACCTATACCTATTTTTATTAATAAATATTGTGGCCATCGCATAAAAAATAATATAGAAACACTTGCAACCATAATGAATAAATTCATACTTTTAATAACTGTTAAATCGGACCATTCTTAAGATTTCATGAACTTGATCGATTGACTTAATTTTATAGGATTTTATGAAAAAATGTTGAATTAATTAGAATTAGCTTAATATCATTAAAATAAAGTAAAAATACATCTCGATAGTCTGGCACCTTGTGACGAGTTCATCTTTCAAACTTTCAGCGAGTTATTGAGCACATCAATAGACTGCAAACTGTTTACGGCTAGCATCTAAACTGTAACTAAGTTGTTTAGTTTACAGTGTCAACGAATTTTAGAATTAAAAACTGATTTTGATGAATGGGGTCCCAAATTGTTTGGAAAAAAAACTGCTCCTCAAAATTTAAGAATTTACTCAAATTTGATATGAAAAAATAGAGCCATTTTTCTGAAATTTGATCTGGGCTACAATTTCAAAAACAGTTGAATTGTGAGACATATTCTCGAGATAAATATAAGAAAGTCTATTCTATTCCACTTCTCTCGATTTGAAAGTTATGATCATGAAAATCATTTAATTAAATTTAAATCTAAATTATGCATTATGTAGTAATTCAGTACTGCTTGAAAAGTAGAAATTTCATCTTGATTATGTCCTTTAACATTACTTTGGACTGAAACATACTATTAACACAAATATAAATTTTGCTTATAGTCTTTCCGATCTCAATTGAAGACCAAAGAGCTTGGCGGTATGTACCAGGTTCGGTCGCTAAGCGACAACTCGGTATTGAAATATTTGAAAAATTTGTTCCCACATTTATTTAACCACACCCATATACAGGTCTCGTCGCCC